ACTTTCTCTTTCAGCTGGTATGAGTTGAGAGGCAAAGAGGGTACTACTTTTCCCTGCTAACTAGCCTTGTCTTGAAGGTCTTACCACTCTCAGGGGATGACTCAAACTACTTTTACACCTATACGATCATGAAGTAATCATAATGTTTTATGATCATAATTTCTTATGTTTTTTAAGAAAAACAGAAACAATAGAAAAAGCCATGCTGTGTACCCTCTGCCATCTTTAATAAGCCTGCATCCGACCCTATGATAGTTTCTTTATAGTCAGGATAATTCACAATAGCAACAATCAAATTTGGTTTTTTTAAAGTTTTTTAAAAATATACTTTAAGTTCTGGGATACATGTGAAGAACGTGCAGGTTTGTTACAAGGTATACACGTGCCATGGTGGTTTGCTGCACCCATCAACCCATTACCTACATTAGGTATTTCTCCTAATGCAGTCCCTCCCCTACCCCCCCACATCCCAACAGGCCCTGGTGTGTGATGTTTTCCTTCTTGTGTCCGTGTGTTCTCATTGGTGAACTCCCACTTATGAGTGAGAACATGTGGTGTTTGGTTTTCTGATCTTGTGATAGTTTGCTGAGAATGATGGTTTCCAGCTTCATCCATGTCCCTGCAAAGGACATGAACTCATCCTTTTTTGTGGCGGCATAGTATTCCATGCTGTATATGTACCACATTTTCTTTTTCCAGTCTAACATTGATAGACATTTAGGTTGGTTCCAAGTCTGTACTATTGTGAACAGTGCTGCAGTAAACAAACATGTGCATGTGTCTTTATAGGTGAATGATTTATAAGACTTTAGGTATATACCTAGTAATGGGATTGCTTGGTCAAATGGTGTTTCTGGTTCTATATCCTTGAGGAATCACCACACTGTCTTCCACAATGGTTGAACTAATTTACACTCCCACCAACAATGTAAAAGTGTTCCTATTTCTCCATATCCTCTCCAGCATCGGTTGTTTTCTGACTTTTTAATGATTGCCATTCTAACTGGCATGAGATGGTATCTCATTGTGGTTTTGATTTGTATTTCTGTAATGATCAGTAATAATGAGCTTTTTATCATCTTTGTTGGCCACATAAATGTCTTCTTTTGAGAAGTGTCTGTTCATATCCTTTGCCTACTTTTCGATGGGGTTGTTTTTTTTCTTGTAAATTTGTTTAAGTTCCTTGTAGATTCTGATATTAGCCCTTTGTCAGATGGATAGATTGCAAAAATTTTCTCCCATTCTGTAGGTTGCCTGTTCACTCTGATGATAGTTTCTTTTGCTGTGCAGAAGCGCTTTAATTTAATTAGATCCTGTTTGTCAGTTTTGACTTTTGTTGCCATTGCTTTTGGTGTTTTAGTCATGAAGTCTTTGCCTATGCCTATATCCTAAGTGGTACTGCCTAGGTTTTCTTCTAGGGTTTTTATGGTTTTAGGCCTTATGTTTAAGTCTTTAATCCATCTTAAGTTAATTTTTGTATAAGGTGTAAGGAAGGGATCCAGTGTCAGTTTTCTGCATATGGCTAGCCAGTTTTCCCAACACCATTTATTAAATAGGGAATCCTTTCCCCCATTGCTTGTTTTTGTCAGGTTTGTCAAAGGTCAGATGGTTGCAGATGTGTGAAATTATTTCTGAGACCTCTTTTCTGTCCCATTGGTCTATATCTCTGTTTTGGTACCAGTACCATGCTGTTTTGGTTACAGTAGCCTTGTAGTATTGTTTGAAGTCAGGTAGCATGATGCCTGCAGCTTTGTTCTTTTTGCTTAGGAATGTGTTGGCTATGCAACCTCTTTTTTGGTTCCATATGAAATTTAAAGTTTTTCCTAATTCTGTGATGAAAGTCAGTGGTAGCTTGATGGGGATAGCATTGAATCTATAAATTACTTTGGGCAGTATGGCCATTTTCATGATATTGATTCTTCCTATCCATGGGCATGGAATGGTTTTCCATTTGTTTGTGTCCTCCTTTAATAACTTGAGCAGTGGTTTGTAGTTCTCCTTGAAGAGCTCCTTCACATCCCTTGTAAATTGTATTCTTAAGTATTTTATTCTCTTTGTAGCAATTGTGAATGGGAGTTCACTCACGATTTGGCTCTCTATTATTGGTATATAGGAATGCTTGTGTTTTGTGCACATTGATTTGGTATCCTGAGACTTTGCTGAAGTTGCTTATCAGCTTAAGGAGATTTTGGGCTGAGACAATGAGGTTTTCTAAATATACAATCATGTCATCTGCAAAAAGAGACAATTTGACATCCTCTCTTCCTCTTTGAATACCGTTTATTTCTTTCTCTTGCCTGACTGTCCTGGCCAGAACTTCCAATACTATGTTGAGTAGGAGTGGTGAGATAGGACATCCTTGTCTTGTGCCGACTTTCAAAGAGAATGCTTCCAGCTTTTGCCCATTCAGTGTGATATTGGCTATGGGTTTGTCATAAATAGCTTTTATTATTTTGAGATACATTCCACTGATAACTAGTTTATTGGGAGTTTTTAGCAAGAAGCGCTGTTGAATTTTTTCGAAGGCCTTTTCTGCATCTATTGAGATAATCATGTGGTTTTTGTCTGTGGTTCTGTTTATATGCTGGATTACGTTTATTGATTTGTGTATGTTGAACCAGCCTTGCATCCCAGAGATGAAGCCCACTTGATCATGGTGGATAAGCTTTTTGATATGCTGCTAGATTCAGTTTTCCAGTATTTTATTGAGAATTTTTGCATCAATGTTTGTCAGGGATATTGGTCTGAAATTTTCTTTTTTTGTGTTGTTTCTACTAGGTTTTGGTATCAGGTTGATGTTGGCGTCACAAAATGAATTAGGGAGGAGTCCCTCTTTTTCTATTTTTTGGGGTAGTTTCGGAAGGAATGGTACCAGTTTCTCTTTATACCTCTGGTAGAGTTCAGCTGTGAATCCATCTGGTCCTGGGCTTTTGTTGGTTGGTAGGCTGTTAATTGCTGCTTCCATTTCTGAACTTGTTATTGGTCTATCCAGGGATTCAATGTCTTCCTGGTTTAGTCTTGGGAGGGTGTGCGTGCCCAGGAATTTATCCATTTCTTCTAGATTTTCTAGTTTATTTGCATAGAAGTGTTTATAGTATTCTCTGATGGTGGTTTGTATTTCTGTGGGACCAGTGGTGATATCCCCTTTATCATTTTTTATTGTGTCTATTTGATTCTTCTCTCTTTTCTTATTAGTCTGGCTAATGGTCTATCTATTTTGTCGATCTTTTCAAAAAACCTGAACCTGCTCCTGGATTCATTGATTTTTTGAAGGGTTTTTGTTGTCTCTAGCTCCTTCAGTTCTGTTCTGATTTTAGTTATTTCTTGTCTTCTGCTAGCTTTTGAATTTGTTTGCTCTTGCTTTTCCAGTTATTCTAATTGTGATGTTAGGGTGTCGATTTTAGATCTTTCCCGCTTTCTCTTGTGGGCATTTAGTGCTATAAATTTCCCTCTAAACACTGCGTTAGCTGTGTCCCAGGGATTCAGGAATGCTGTGTCTTTATTCTCATTGGTTTCAAAGAACTTATTTATTTCTGCCTTCATTTCGTTGTTTACCCATTAGTCATTCAGGAGCAAGTTGTTCAGTCTCCATTTAGTTGTGCTGTTTAGAGTGAGTTTCTTAATCCTGAGTTCTAATTTGATTGCACTGTGGCCTGAGAAACTATTTGTTATGATTTCCATTCTTTTGCATTTGCTGAGGACTGTTTTACTTCCAATTATGTGGTCAATTTTAGAATAAGTGTGATGTGGTACTGAGAAGAATGTGTATTCCGTTGATTTGGGGTGGAGAGTTCTGTAGATGTCTATTAGGTCCACTTGGTCCAGAGCTTAGTTCAAATCCTGAATATCCTTGTTAATTTTCTGTATCACAGTGGGGTGTTAAAGTCTCCCGCTATTATCGTGTGGGAGTCTAAGTCTCTTTGTAGGTCTCTAAGAACTTGCTTTATGAATCTGGGTGCTCCTGTATCGGATGCATATATATTTAGGATAGTTAGCACTCCTTGTTGCGTTGATTCCTTTACCATTATGTAATGCCCGTCTTTGTCTTTTTGATCTTTGTTGGTTTGAAAACACAGTTCTTAAACTCCAGTATGCAAAACAGTCACTAGAATAGCTGTTAGTAAAGATTACTGTGCCCAATCTCCAGAAATTCTTCTCATTCAATACATCAGGAATAAGGCCCAGGAACGGAAATATCCTCATTGTCCCATTTAAATATTGTGGATAAAATTCCTTGTTTAGTCTTATTTAAAAGTTCTTTTTCTAACTCCTGAAATCACTTAAGTCTGTGCTTCTCAAACCTGAATTTAGGCCTCCTCCAGGGTTTATGATATGTGCCAGGGGATGGGTGAAGTCATAAAATCGGCATGGCGTATCTTCCTGGAGTGTTAGTTTTATACAAAGATTTAAGAGTAAGAGAAAATTAACATTTAAAATGTAACATGGAGCTGGGTGTGGTGGCTCACGACTGTAATCCCAGCACTTTGGGAGGCTGAGGTGGACGGATCACGAGGTCAGGAGTTCGAGACCAACCTGGCCAATATGGTGAAACCCTGTCTCTACTAAAAATACAAAAATTAGCTGGGACTGGTGGTGTGTGTCGGTAATCCCAGTTATTTGGGAGGCTGAGGCAGAAGAATCGCTTGAACCTGGGAGGAGGAGGTTGCAGTGAGCCAAGATCCTGCCACTGCACTCTGGCCTAGGCAGCAGAGTAAGACTCCATCTCAAAAAATAATAATAAAATAAAATGTAACATGACACAGAATGCAAAATTAACATGTATTTTTAAAATAAACCAGGAACTTCAAAGAAATTTTTCAGTTAGGTCCGTACCCTGTACTTCCTGGTTTCTACAATTCCTTTCCTTTACTATCATAGGGCACCTTTGGTAGAATACCTTAATTAGGACAACTTACATTTTAACCCCTGAAAAATGCTGTTATAAACAGCTATTGGTATAGAAAGTGCAAATACAAGGTGCTTTTATAAAGATGATGTGAATGATTAACAGTTCTTTAAGCATGCTCTTTTCTTATTTAGAAAAGTATTTCTATGTTGCAGATGAACTGTCTCATTGTGTTGAGCCTGAGCCGTCTCAGGTGCCAGGTGGCAGTTCTAGAGACCATCAGCAAGGTAAGCCCCCTCCTGTCCCGGCTCTAAAAGCTAAGACATCTTCACGTTCTAGTCCATATGCCACTGAGATACAGAAGTCAACTGATGATTCCATATTTAAAGTTCTAGACTGGTTTAACCGAAGTTCTTATTCAGATGACAATAAGTCATTCCTCCAACATCCCCGAGGAATAGAGTCCAAAGAAAAAACAGACTCAAAATCACAGGTTGCTATTGACTTGGTGACAGATGACACTACTTTAAAAGAAAATGGCTCTAAGAACCTATCATCCAGCAAAATTGAATCGAAGCCTGTGAGATCTGATTCAACATTCCAAGTAGAGGGAGATATGCTGGTTTCTGAAAGTTGCCAAGATGCTAATGTGAACATCAAATCCAAATTCATGAATTTGTCCCAACAAGGTGCCCCAAAGGAAGGCCCATGTATATTGCCATTTGAAAGCTATGGCACCCCAAGTCAAAGGAGCAAAAATATGGACTATAGCCAAGATTCAAAAAGCATAGGAAAAGGGAACGGGTTATCTCCTCCAAAAAGGAACTATTCCTACAATATTCTCAAGGAATCTGATGCAGAAAACCAAGTTCCATGCAACACTAATAATATTGGCAACTTGGGTGAAGAAAAACCCAAGTTTCATGCTCATAAAGAAAATATAGGACACTCAGAAGTGAATTTTGACTCTTCAACAATTGTCAAAGAACCAGGTTTGAAAGATAACATGAAAGCAGAGAGAAAGAGCAAAGGAGGAAATACCTATATCCTGAAAGCTTCCTTAGAGCCAGAGAATATTAAGTCAACACCTGGGGTTGCCAACAACGGCTCTCCTTGGAAGAAGCCTGAGGTCCATCTCCAGCAAGAAGCTGATGAGGTTCCCAAGAACAAAGTGCAGAGAGAGAAATACAAAAGAGTGAGTGACAGAATATCCTTTTGGGAAGGAGAGAAAGCTGCTGCTAAGATAACTCATAAAGAACCCACATCTTCATGTAGCCAGGAACAACCTTCTGCTAAAGCATATCAGCCTGTGCAGAAGTCACAGGGTGTATCATCTATGGACAGTTTATCTACAGACCAGAGTGAATATAATCAGGTCATTCCCAAACGAGTGGTCCTAGATGAGGATGATCAAGCATCCCAGCTCTCCAATTCTTATTCCTCAAATAAATCTAAAGAGACCAAGCCACAAATATCAGATCCATCCAGAAACTATCTTTCAGCTGAGGAATCAGATAAAGTGTCTCTGTTTCAGAATAAGAAAAATGAGCCTATAAAAAGATCACCAGTGGCAGACAGTTTGCCTTCTAGAAGAAACCTTACTTTACCAGCACTGCAACGTCCCTCAAATGTTGGGAGTGAACGACATGTTCCTTTGGAGAAAGACAGACCTCTAGTTCGTGAATCAAATGCCAACTTCAAAGTTATGTCCCTAAAAGAAAGAATGGATGAACCCAATGTGGAACAGGTCTATAATCCCTCTCAGTTTGAGAATTTGAGAAAGTTTTGGGACTTAGAAGCTAATTTAAACAGTAAGAATAATGACAAGAATATTACCACAGCAAGCCAAAAAAGTTCTACACCTTTTAATAGGCAGAAACACAAGGAATTAAGTGACATTAAATTATCAGGTAAAAATACTCATGAAGCAGAGGTGCTTCTAAGCCCAAAAAAAGTTATGGGAAGAGAGGAAATGGAGAAATTAAATTCAAAGGGCATACTCCAGGTGCTACCAGATGAAACCACATTTCCTTTGAGTCCGCTTAGAAAGTATACTCATCAGTTGCGAGGAAATGAGTCATCAAAGGAATACATGGAAAAGAATATGGAAGGGAGTGTTACTCCAGTGTTTAAGGAAGAAAAGGATTACTCAGACCAAGAGATTCAAGAATCCATAGTAAAAACCAATGTTTTGTCTAAAGACTACAAAGACACTTTTAATGACAGCTTGCAGAAACTGCTTTCAGAAGCCTCAACACCAGCAATTCAACCCTCTGGTGGAAAAGTTCATGGAAAACAAGTGCTTGAGCCAAGTGTTTCTGAAAATAGGACATGGCGTCAAAAAACAGATTTTGCTGATACCGAGGAAGAAGTCAAAGGACCTGAGAAGATCATTAATGAGCATGTTGACAAAACAGTAGTTCCTCCAAAGGTTAAACGGAACTCTTTGACTGCTAGTCTAGACAAACTCCTGAAGGAAGCAACTGGAACTTCACCCTCTCCCTTGCAAACCAAGTTGGCGCCCGTTATCACTGGAACCAACTCTAAGCCGGAAGAAGGAAGATTTTTTGGAAAAGGGATAGAACAGAGTCACAATACTTCAGCTGATAAGAGAGAAATACTAGCTCCTTTTCCAGAGAGAGATGAAACTTTTGGAAATACAGCTGTCCCCAAGAAAGCTGAAAGTGGTGAGTGCCAGCTAAACACAGAGAATTTGATTCAGATGGCTGCAGAAGATTCTTATCCATTGGATCCACCTTCCCAGCTTTCCAGAAAGGGTTCTTTTGGGGATGTGGCCAACCCTCCCCACGATATGCTTTTTCCCCAAGATGCTCATCTTGTTCCCCAGGCTAGGGCACAACCTTCTCAAACGGAAATTTCAGAGACTGTAGAGAAAGTCATTCTTCCACCCAGACCTGTGTTGAATGATGTAAATGCTGCATTACAGAAGCTGCATAGAGAAGTATGGTTAAGTTATCCAGCTGGAAGGGAAGTACGTCCTGGAGAAGTGAACCCAGAATTTCCTGAAGCAGTACAGGCATTAGGTAGCCCCCTAAATCCGCCAGGAGTGATATCACCATGGGCTATGATGGACACCATAGTTCCAGACAGGAAGGATTTTTATTCCTCCAATGTAGTTCCTGATAAAACTCATGAACTTGGATCTTATTTAGCTGCCCAAATGTTTCTATCAGACCAGACACTTAGCTCATTTGGTTCCACTGTTGCTCAATATGGCAAAGGCCTACCTCAGGAAGTGGAAGAAATTGTGAGGGAAACAATTATTCAACCCAAATCAGAGTTCCTCGAATTCAGTGCTGGCTTAGAAAAACTACTGAAGGAAGCAACTGAAACCTTCCCCTTAAAATGTGAAAGCGATACAGGGAATCTTTCTGCATCAAAGTTAATAGGTAGTACAAAGGAGCCCAGGCAAGCCACTTCTGAATTCCATCCTGAGGAATTAAAAGAAACAGTAGAAAAGGCTGAGGCTCCATTAATAACTGAGAGTGCTTTTGATGCTGGTTTTGAGAAACTTCTTAAAGAAATAACTGAAGCTCCTCCTTATCAGCCCCAGGTGTCAGTGAGAGAAGAAATGCACAAGAAGGAGTCCTCACAGTCAGAGCAGACCAGGTTCTTAGGGGCAGTGCCCCATTTTTATGGGGCAGCCTCACAGACCTCTGAAATGAAGGCTAAAAGTAGTGGTTTGGAATCTCAAGTCAACCGATGTAATAAAAAGTTGGGAGGAGACGTACATATGACTGATTTATTGGTAGATTTTTGTGGTTCCAAAAGTGGAGTTGAGATCCCTAGAACCCCACAACTTTATGTGGCTCATGAAATAGGGACCATTAACACTGTAAACCCCCCAGTGGACAGGGACAGTGAAAGTGGGGTTGCAGGGCGACAAGGGACTTTTCAGGAACCTGGCTTTGGAGGGGCTTCTGAAGCAATTAGTGTGTCCAGAAATAGGCAACCCATTCCTCTCCTGATGAACAAAGAAAACTCTACAAAAACAAGTAAAGTTGAATTGATTCTAGCATCGCCATATAAGAAACAGGAGAAAGAGGAAGAAAAAGAAGGTTTCTCTGAGTCCGAGTTTTCAGATGGAAACACCAGTTCTAATGCAGAGAGCTGGAGAAATCCTTCCAGTGAGCATTTAAAAATTTTTAACTCACAATGAGTCTGCTTTATGGAATGCTGATGTAAAGGATGATATTTTTTTAATTGGGATTAATTTGATATTCTTAAATGGTGTTAAATTCTTCTTACCACTTCTGTGTTCCTGAGCCTTTTTTAATTAAAAAAATTATTTATATTTTTTAATCAAAAGCATTACATAAAACAGCTTTCCTATAAGGCTGTTTCAGAGTCTGACTTGACTTTTCATTAATATACCTATAGAATTTTTAGGTTTCAAAAAATACTTTTTAAATAACTTTTTGTGTTTAGAAAGTATCTTTACTACATTTAAGCTAGTTTTCCTCCTGGAAATATTTAGAATTTCTTCCTTAATTGGCAATCTTTATAGCAGTCTAGTAAGATTTGTGGCAAGAAAGTGCCACAGATGGACACAAATTTCCCATTTAGGAGCAATATCTTACCACAGTGGTGGCTAAATACCAGGGACAAAATACAAGGCTGGAACTTTCCTTCCCTCAGATACCTTGTGCTGTGGTGTTTTTGTTGCCACTTTCTCCCTCTCATTTTCAATTATCTGTACAATCTTCCCTTTCTAGAGTATGACTTTGGCCAGATGACTCACCTGATGCCACCTAAGGGCATTGCCTGGCCAGGTACATTTCTTTCGCTCCAGCCTTGGCTAAGTTGATGATCTGAATCGATCTCCACATTCATCTACATGGATGTGGGGGCACTGGTTTTGGTGGCCAGGCTGTGAAACATAGGGCTTATCTCAGTTTCCTATTTAATCAACATGTGGACATTTTAGCAGAGAAACCCCAGAGCAAATAGGAATGAGAAGCTACCTGATTAAAATGATGAAATGATAGAGAATGTTTTCTGGCTGGGACATTTTAACCAAAGTTACACAACTGCTGTTGATTGCCTTCCTTGTAGTTTAGTAGAATTTGTCATTTGTTTAGCTCCCTTTAGTTCCAGTGAAAATAGATAAGCTTTACTGAGTCGCTTACTTGGAGGTGTGGATTCTTTTGTAAGTAGCTATAGGGTTTCTTCTTGAACACTGACCAAAGAATCCACCTTTAATCCTATTCAGTCAAGTTGAAGCCCCTCTAACAAATTTTGTTGTTAATAAAAAAAAAAGAAATTGAAGTGTCAGTCTCTAAAACCAGACATATGCAAGAATAAATCCAGCATATTAAACTTGTTGAAGTAGGCTCTTACTAAACTTCCCATGAGTTGCTAGCATAAACTGAGCCACAGTAGGAGGAGCGCCTGCAAATTCGCAATTATGTTAGAGACTATCATCTAATGTGTATCCCAGCATTAACTGACCGAGTAGTAAAAAGCCTATCTAAAAAAGCAATGTTAAATAGTCACCTAGGCTGGGCACAGTGGCTCACACCTGTAATCCCAGCACTTTGGGAGGCCGAGGTGGGCGGATCATGAGGTCAGGAGATCAAGACCATCCTGGCTAACACAGTGAAACCCCATCTCTACTAAAAAATACAAAAAATTAGCCAGGCGTGGTAGCAGCGGCTATAGTCCCAGCTACTTGGGAGGCTGAGGCAGGAGAATAGCGTGAACCCAGGAGGCGGAGCTTGCAGTGAGCCAAGATCACACCACTGCACTCTAGCCTGGGCTACAGAGTGAGACTTCATCTCAAAAAAGAAAAAAAAAAAAAAATTACCTAAACAGAGTCCAGAGAAGACATTTTAGAATTACAAGCCAATTAAGAAGTATAAAATGTATAGTCAAGATTTTAATTTAGGTTTATATACTCTAACCCAAGTTACTATTTTAAAGCAAACTGCAGTAGGGGTGGGGTGAGAAATGAAGAGAAACCTACTATAAAGGTACTGTAATTTTGGGGAGCAAGCTAACACCTTTGACTTGTGACTGAGCTCTTAACTAAGCCATACCTCAATATGCTCCTTTGGGAAAAATTAAAGGTTCAGTAGTCAAATACTTTTGGAAATGCTGGGCCATTATGCACAGAGAAGGTCTGCAGTAAGGAACATTTCAAATTTGAACAGAGAACATCCAAATCTAATTAGTCTTAGAATCTATTTGCCATGGAATGTACCAGGCAGAACTGCAATGTATTTCAGGAAATTATTGTCTAGAGAAGTGGTTCTTAAATTGATGGATTCCTTTATCGAATCACTCATTGATTCAGCAAATATTTTGAAGTGTTTATTTCCAGCCACTGTTCTAGGCACTGAGAATACAACAGTAATAAATGTCAGTACTTAGGCTTATTCATGATGGAGCCATTCGTTTTATAAAATAATGGCATTAGTAAATGATAGAGGCCTCCCTCCCATGTTATTTCCCAGCATTTCATTGGAAATTATACTAGATCATGAAACCCAGAGAGTCTACAACCTTCGATCTGGAGAATATCTGGAGAATATGTGTACCCAATTATACACAGATGTTAAACATCTGAATCCTGCCTTCTATGGTTTTGAATTAATTTTATTAATGCTCCTAGAAGTATTTCATGGTTGTCTTCAAAAGCTAGAATGTTAAATGGGAAGAGTCAATGTCTGGCATAGGACAAATCATATGTCTAAAATAAGAGTAAACAACTGAGAGATCACATTTCTATTAATGTGGTAATCTTGTTTCTATATGGTTTACATTTGCAAATATTTCTTGACCAGTAAATTATTTTTAAGAGCATATTAATAGTGGAGAAATTTTATTTTCTTCTGTGAAATAAGTGCCTCTTAAAGTAGAGAAACTGATAGCATAATGTCTCTTTTCAACCTACCATTTCTATGTCCATATGTTAGAGGGTTGTTTTTTTTGATATTGTGCAGTGTTCATCAATTTTGTTTTATAACAGGTTCAAAAGAAGAACCCAGTCCTGTTTTGAAAACTTTGGAAAAGAGTGCCGCTAGGAAAATGCCTTCCAAAAGTCTAGAAGACATTTCATCAGATTCATCAAGTGAGAATAAAGTTCGCCTCACTGTTCATGCCCCATCTAAGCTTTAAAATGCCTATGTGCTCTCCTGTAGCCTCACTGCATGCTGTTGTGCACTGCAACCCCTAATGGGGGCCATTAACAGATGAAAATAACCTTTCCAAAGTGCGCTGAAGAGGCTCAACCTAAAGTGGCTGGAACTTTGCTTATAAAATAATATATTACATTTGGTAATATATTACATTTTGGTTTTTAGTAACCAAAAGGAACACTAGGTTTCCTTTAATTGAAGAATCCCAGTTTAAGTGTTTCTCAAGTACGCTGAGTTTGAAAGGACTGTGGTAGCTAGTAGGATTAGTGAAAATAGTCATAACTAACATTTATTGAATATAATTTGCCAAAATGTACCTAATAATTTTACATGTATTATCTCATTCAACCAGCACAAGCAACCCTATGAGAGGTGAATTATTGTTATCCAAATTTAAAGATGAGGAAAATGAAGCTCAGAAATGTGAAATGACCTGTTTAGTATTACACAGAAGATCAGGGACTCAAAATTAACAGGCTATTATCAAGAACATTTATGAAGGGACCACGTTATATATGACGGCATTGGATGTCCATTGAATTTTGCATGATACGGAGTTGAATTAGTCCCTGGCTTCAAGGACTTTCCTTTCTCTTTTATCCCTTCTATTCTGTTCACATTTCTTTTAGATACTGGAACTATAAGCCCAAAACTACTTAACATGGAAGACTTTAGGTACACTATTCCCCACTGGCAGCTGCTTTAATGGTGAAGGATTTCTTGAGTACTAACAGAAAGCATAATATTTCAAGAGAGTTATGTGCTGGACAAATGGACTAAAACCATGGCTTCTTGGGGTTTTGTTCTTGCTATTTTCAAGCTAAAATCCACCTCTAGGATTGCAGATGGTCATAAGAAAAATTATCAAGTGAAAAGTTAACCACTGCCAAACTCGTATGATTGATAATTGGCCATTGTTATGTTTAGAATATTTTTTGTGCATTTGTAATTAAGAATAAAAAGTCAGAATTTAAGAAGGAAAAAAAGAAAAGAAAAAGCCACTCCACCAAACATTTCCTAAAATTCACAGATTCCCAGGGATTTGAAGACAGTATTCCCAATTTGGAATGTAGTCCTAACTATCCCAAGGATCTTGGAATCTGAGGGTTAGAAGGGATCTTAAAAATCACCCATTTTAACCTCCCCCCCAGTGTAGGAATTCCCTCTAAAGCCTCGTCAACAGGCGGCCAACCCCCATATCTGCCTGAATGCTTCCAGAGAAGGCGAGTCGAATCCTTTGTTGGACAGCCGTGATTGTTCCTCCTTATGTTGGTGATGGGCCCTGAGAAAAAGAAAAAAACAAAACAAAACAAAACTCAGAACAATTGTCCAATTTAGCAAACCTCTTGCCTGTGAAACATGGGGCTATTTCCATGGTGCAGCTTTAAAGTACTCAGGAATGTATAGGGTTAAAAAAAAAATCACCATCAGCTGACGGGTATTCCTGCACGCTTCCTTCCAAATACCGATACCCACTCTCACACTAGCCTGCCAAGATTCCACTTAGCAGCTGGTCCCCAGTTACATCTCTTCAGTTGACTTCCCAGGCAAACCTCCCAGAGGCATACGCGAATGATGATGCACACACACAAATATTTGTTAATGACCATGGGTTTGGGAAGGTGTTAGTCATGGCTAGCATCATACCCTTTACAGAAGAATAGAGAGGCTGTTGCAGCCCCGTGCTTTCTCCTGCTGCTGGCCGATTGCTTGCTCTGAACTAACCCTCTAACCCTTGGGAGTCTGTGTGCAGCAGTGATGTGAGCTGCATCCGGGCTGAAATGGGAGCTCCCGCTATGGCACTGGCTCAAGTAGCTAATCTAAAGAGAAAGTATTTTGGGGAAGACATCTTGGTTGCACCCCTCATTGCATCTTGACTAATTGCTTCCAACTCCGGGGGCTTCCAGGGACAATCTCATTGTTCTTTTCTCTCCAAGGGTCAGCCATATTAACCATTTGTTAATTTCTTCTGAACAGATCAAGCAAAAGTAGATAATCAGCCAGAAGAATTAGTGCGTAGTGCTGAAGATGGTAAATATCTTTATGTATTTGCATGTCTGTCTGTGTATTAACTTCTGGGGTGCTTTGGGCAGTCTCTGGGACGCAGCTGTTGGGTAAATAGAAGAACGTCATTTGCCACTATGTGGTGAATAGTACCTAAGTTACTATAAAACAGTTCTCATTTGGTACATTAAATATAGTTTGTATTCTTAAGGCTTCTGCTGCTGATACTGTCATGAGGATCTCATCAGAGACCCTTGTGAAGCAAGGATTTCTATAAATAGAAAATTGTATTTCTTTGGATATGAGCTGATTTTTGCTACTCTGACTTGCAGAACTCGTTGTAAAGGCAGGAATAGTGGAGTGAATTCCTGGGTTGTTATTCTTCTGTTTGATTCTCAAGTCCCAGCATTTAGATCTCTCTGGGCACAACTGGTAAAATCTTAAGTTCAAAGGAAAGAGTCCCAGAACAAGGGTGGGAAATCTTGCCTCTGCTTATATAAATAACTAAATATAGACAGAGGGTGAAGTTGATTCTGAATATAATGGAGCCAGAAGATCTTGAAACTTGTCAATAGATCAGGTATTACTTGGCTTTGTTATAAGATGAATAGTATAATGGTGCCTTGGTTGAGGGAGAGACAGAAATGAGTCTGATTTTTATAGTGAAGAATTTATGCAAATGTATAATTTGTATTTGCATGCTGGATTTTGTTTGTTTGTTGTTAAATTGCCCTCACTATAATCATAAAAATGTGTACTCACTGAACTTTCCCATATAAATGCAGCAACAGAGCTCCTTAAAGGTCATTCTTTACTTTTATGTAATAGTTTTATCTTTCTCATTTTATATTTACAACCACCTCACTGAAGTTGATGGGGCAGGGATTTTTATCTTCATTTTGCTGATAAGAAAAACTCAGAGAAATTAAGTGACTTTTCTAAGATCCTATAGCTAGTCAGTCATTGGGAGGGCAGGAAATAGAATCTCAGCTTCATTACTCCTAGTTCAGTGCTCCTTCCCATTTTCCATGCTGTGGTCTAGTGAATTACAGGAAGGATGCTCCATATCTCCTGTGTTGGATCCCAGATTTTTAGTTGAACAGGAGACCTTAAAGAGGCTAATGAAGAAGAGTCACACTGAGGAATGAATGAAATCAAGATGAAAACCTGTCAGATGTATTCTGCTGTCTCAGTTGTGAAACTGACATTTGAGCTTTACTTTCATGTCTCTCTAATCTTTCTGTTAAAATGGTATTTATTCTCAATGTTGCCCTCCTGAGTAGATGAGAAAGCAGATCAGGAGCCAGATACAAATGAATGCATACCAAGAAGTGAGTAGCAGGATCTTTCTCACAAATGACTAAACATTCCACTTTATATAGTATTAAATATAGTGAAATAACTAACCCCATTAATAACACAGCATTTATTATTGGCACTAAACTCCTGCAGCTTACAAAACTATTTCATTATGATAAGGGTTTTATTAAAAACATTTTACTATTGTCTGTGTGGAAGGAATGATTTGTGGTTCCACTGAGGGAGAGTTGTATATAAATATATATGCATATATGTTATTGCTGATATTATTGTGCTTTTGTCAGTCTCTATGCTGTTTGAATCTCTGCTTAAAAGCAAGTTGGCACCTTCTGATTTCATTTGGTTTTTATGTTGCAGTATGATTTTGAGTGTTGGATCTCTTGTGGCCTCTATACGAAACTGTAGATGGAAGTAATTTATAACTTATTGGGACCTATGAAAGGAAGTTAGAGTATGTGCTTCTCTCCATATCCATAAAAGCCAATCTTATTATGCCCAGGGTTTAAACTCTGAGGTGCAAAACTGACTTGAATGGTAAATGTTCTAAGTATAAACCAAGTGAACACGTGAATCTAAGGAGTAAATGTATACCTGTGGTGACTAATGCCTGTCTACTAATTAATGTCTACCATCAAGCAAATATAATGTTTGCTTGCTCTTTTATGTTCAATCTTAAGATTACTCTACTTAGCTGTGACTATTATCTTAAGGACAAATAACACATTTAAAAAGTGCTCACACGGCCTAGTAAAGCATGCAGCAGTGTGTGTGTGTGTGTGTGTGTGTGTGTGTGTATGACTTGTTAGCTTCTCGGTTTCACTCTTTTTCATAAACTCTAGGCACTGGGGGTATGAAGATAATGATACACATGTCTACCTTCAGGGCCACAATATTTTAAATAATAATTTCCCAACAGTCTTTGGATATGCTAATAGGGCTTAATGAGGAAAGCAGCTAAATGGAGGAGCCATTAGATAGAAAACCAATGTGCTGATGGCTAAAAGTCAGTGACATGTAGTGGGAAACCTGAAACTTTGCTCATGAGGTCCTCCTGCCAGCAGTGAAGGTGCTGAGCTTTGGCACATGACTTGACAAATTCTTAAGAACTGCCTAGGAAAGAAGACAGTCCAGGCTTCAGCTCTTGTGAGTATGTGCTCTCTGTCTGACTGCTGCAGAGGAAACAAGCCTTCTGCCCTTAAGGGGTGTTAGGTAAAGGGGCTTTTCCAGTTACTTTTGAACTAGGACATACTTAAGTTTGAGCATCTTATTTTATCTTGCTATGTTTTGTTCAAAATTTAGTCTGAGGAGTAAAAGCAAAACATACATAGACATACATGCCTAAATATCTGTATCTTTATTCATGATCTCCTAATTGGCTTAGTTTATTGGTCAAGGCAAATAGACTAATCCTGTGCTGAATTCTGGGTAAATTAATTTGTCCTTTTTAGTGATATTTTCCAAAATGACTGTTAGTGCCTTTTCACTGGTAAAGAGTATATTCTTACCACAAAAATCAAATACATGATCCAAACACAAATGCCGAAAGCCCATGAATCTAAAATTGATTACATTTGAGTAGTGGATATAATTGAATTTGACCTTCATAGCATCATCCAGCAATATACTTTGAAAATAGTAGGGTGCAATGTTATAACAAAACATTTTTTGCATTCTCATTGGACCATATTGTGGGACCTAATCTTACACTGCTACCAGTATAACTCTCCCTAATACACACACACTATTGTTTAATGGGAAGTGATTAAAGTAGGTGTCATTTTAGTGAGACACCATAAATACATTTTGATGTGCATTTATCTATGGGAGCCTAAGGATAGGTGAAAATTGTTATGTGAGCAAGGATATCTTTAGTATGTGTAGCTAAATTTTCAGTTTTTCCTTCATTAGATTTCTTTAAAGATGAATTTAACTGATGTTTAAGGATGAATTTGAGTCTTTTGTGTTATGTATAGAAATATAATTTGATTTTTATCTATTTTCTTAGTATCTCTTTTAAAGATGAAGTCAATGTATTTGTTTCATTCAAAATATAATTTAAGATTCTTTATCATATGATATTTATTTGATTAGAAAATACTTATATAGAGCTTACTCTGTGGTAGGCACTAAGTGCCTTGGAAAATATTAACTTAATCATTATAAGAACTATGATTCATCATAAGAAAAGCTTAGATGTTGTGATTCTTAGACAAAGAAGAAAATAGTTTTCTAACTAGGTATATGCAAATCAGGATTGTAATTTATCCTCTTCTTGTACCTTCTACACATATACTTTCTATATCAGAAAGAAGACATATGCTACATTTTCTTATTAAATTCTTAGAGTACCCTAACTTTAACCATTCTAACTTAGCCTTGGGATATTGAAAATTCTGAATCAACGAGGTATCTAAATAAGTTATATTTTCAAAAAATAATGTTTATTTTATAATTCTGAGTGAAAAACACTATCAGAAAAGTAATCCTCATGCTCACTAAACACACCTACTCTTAGACACTCAACAACCAGAACACTTTTATTATTGAGTTGTGTACAAAAATCTTGATTGAAGATGTCCAGATGAAATAGTTTTTCAGCCTGCAGTGTGTTAGTAATATCTCTCAGGAGATGAACCAATCAAATACAGACCTTGTGGTATGAAGCTCTGATGTGAAAAAATAAGTTAAACCAATTCACACTGACAGTATATTTTAATTCAAGTTCAGCTCCAGTTCAATAAAAACTAGTGTTTTAAAAATTAACTTTGTTTTGTATTTGGTTCAACTCCTTGCTAGTTTTCTCTATGTATAATTTATAAAAACTGCATGTTGCTTATCTCATGATCCTGTGCATGCGAACTACTGTGCCTTTAACTTTTTTACAAAAACATGTTTGTTCATAGCTTAAATAAAAGTATGTTTTCAATTAATGTGTGATGTTTTCCGACAATTGTAAGAATAATTTTGAAATGGAAATGCTGCTGTTTAGTTTCCACAGTGCCTACACCACCTGATAATCCATTTTCTCACCCTGACAAACTCAAAAGGATGAGCAAGTCTGTTCCAGCATTTCTCCAAGATGAGGCAAGTTTGTCTTTTGTACCGTCAGAAAAATGGAGACAGAGGGTTGGAATTGCTATGCCAACGTTGATGTGTTTGTATTCCACTGTGGCAGAGACCAAAGAGGTCAGAAGGACTGACCCTTGCCTTTCAAGTCAATAGAAGTAGGGTTGTTGATCCTGGAACAGGGAAAGGCGCATCTCATTTGACTCAAACAGTAACTCCTTTTGGTTAGTGAAGTCAAATTGCATAGATTTGGGAATGTGATTTTGTTTCAAAGCAAGTACAAAATAAGAAATCCAGGAAGGTATATGAACTGGTTATCCCTCTGTAGTTTGGAGTAGACTTGATTTGTGAAAACTTAATTTAGGCAGTATGACTGGCTTGAAAGTGTTTGTTAATAAAGTAACAATGACACAGCAAGCTTTAAGGAGTATTTATTGGGTGCCAGGCACTTTACATGTATCATTTAATCCTTCAACAACCCTAAGAGGGAGGCACCATCATTATCCCCACACATTACAGGTGAGGAAACTGAGACTAAGGGAGATTAACCTCACTCAGCTAGAAGGGGGTTCAACCAGGCCTGGAGCACAGATCCAACTTGCGTGCTGTTAACGACTATACTATATACTATATGGTCTTAAGAAAGCGCATGACTATAATTTACTATTCATTGAGTACCTAGTATGTGCCAGGTACCTATTCATCTAACTCTAACTAACTATATGTGGTAAGGACTATTTTCTTCATTTTACAAACGAAGAAAGAGCCCCAGAGAGGTTAAACAACTTACCCCAAATCCAATTGCTACTGAAGAGTAGATCTAGGACTTTAACTCAGGTCCTTTGACTTAATTAAGATTCCATGTTCTTGCAGTCAGATAGTTAGGAGCCTGAGCTTTGGAGCCAGATATCCCCAGTCCTAGTTATGATACTAATTTTCTGTGTGATCATGGACACATTCAGTACCTTCCCTGAGTCTGGTTTTCTTGTACCTACCACATGAGGTTGTGGGGTATCAGTAGTATAATGCAGGGAAAACACATAGCACAGTGCCTGGCATATAACGAGTACCTGGCAAATGTTAGCTGCTACTGTTCGTAGTTTTGGTCTGATTTCTAACGGTGAAATAAAAGGCTTCCTTATCAAGCATTCTCTTAGTAGATGGAATGTTGAGGAAAGCTCTGGGCAACACATAAATTATATTCTGTCACTGGCCTGGGCATCCTTTTGTCCATTCTTGGGCCTTTGATGAACTGTATCTGCTAATATTCAGCTCTTGCCTGTGGTTAAGAGCACATGTTACAGTTTCCTTTGGAAAGAATCACTCATTCTTTGGAAGTAATTCATTAGCTAGAAGCCAGCAGTAGGCATGCCATGCAGTTCAACCATATAATAATATGAGGCCGGGCATGGTGGCTCATGCCTGTTATCCTAGCACTTTGGGAGACTGAGACGGGCAGATCACTTGAGGCCAAGGAGTTTGAGACCAGCCTGGCCAACATAGCAAAACCCTGTCTATACTAAAAATACAAAATATTAGCTGAGTGTCACAGCTCATGTCTATAATCCCAGCTACTCGAGAGAGTAAGGCAGGGGAATTGCTTGAACCCGGGAGGCAGAGGTTGTAGTGAGCCGAGATCGTGCCACTGCACTCCAGCCTAGGTGATAGAGTGAGACTCTAGTTTAAAAAAAAGAGTGTGTGTGTGTGTGTATGTGTGTGTGTATATGTGTGTATGAGGCAAATTATATAAGTTCCTGGTTAATTTTTGTTCTTCCTTCAATTTTAACCTGTTGTCTCATAGCTCCACACAGAAGAGAGTTCAAATCATTTAGGTTTGTGTATCAGAGATGCCAGAATTAAGCTGTGTCATTTTACGTGGGGTATGAGTTGAATTGGGTATTAAGGAAAGTGGAAATGCAATCAGGCCTTGCTCATCTGTTCCCTTTGAGACTTATCATCAGTCACATTTTTTGAGTGCCAGTTACGTGTAAAACACCATTCCAGATCAACAAGGCAGAGTTCTGTTCTTCCAATAATTCACTAATGATCTGATATACTAGGTAGAATGTAGTAGGCGCTAAAATAGAGGGAAATGACTCTCAGCATGTGGGGAGAGAGTGTGACAACAGAGACATTTAAAAGATATGAATTGTTTTAATCCTTGACAAAGGATTCTTATCCATGTAAAGCATTAATTTTGGTTTTATTTAACTCCTTTATTAATCTGCATTAGAATTGGCATCCATTATATTGATGCATAATTGCATGGTCCTGGAATATGCTGGCATGAACTAACCACTCCATAAAGGTGTCCCTTAACCCCTGGTGCCACTGAACTGTTCCATAAGCTCTCTAACCCTAAAAGGAGCTCACTCTGAATCATAAATTTTTAAAGCTACTATTTAATAAACTTTAGATTCAAATATAACAAAATTTGTTACTATAACTTTTCTTTCTTTTCCCAGGTAAATACTTCCTAGGACATATTTAAAATAAGTACCTGTATCTTCCTTTTTTTAAATGTGTTAAAATCTAATGTGGGTAGAATGTATAATTTAATATACTTCCCTCTAGCAACAAAAAGATAAGCACAATAACACATAGGAATATGTAAGGGGAAGTTTAAAATTTTTAAAAATTAAAAAATATATATATGACCTTGAGTTGAAACAGATCAGATTAGCATTTCTTTTTTCCTAGTTTAATAGTGTCTCAAGTAAAAGATTTGATTTTTAGAGAAGTTACGGGCTATGCTAATAACAAGAGGAATTAAATATGATGTTTTGTTTTTAACAGTAAATCTTTTTATTATCTGGGTAAAGTTAATTTCTCATATATACCAATAGAGTTCCCCAGGCAAATAAATATATAATATTAAAAGAGTGGCAAGAAAGCGCGCAATAGTGCAGTCTTCTGTAGCACTTTGGGACAGACTACTTTGTAGGTGAAAAAAATCACTTTGTTGTTTTGGTAGCTAAGCACTGCCTTCCTCCTTAGGTGAGGTCAGGCAGACCACCCACTCTATCCTGAATCCCATACCCTGGCAATTAGCACTAGCATCCTTTGACCTTGCAGAAATGTCAGTGGGATACCAAAATACCATCTTTGCCTAAACAGAGATTCTGATCTTGACTCATTCTGAATTTAAATATTGTGCATATTATATACTGTTTTGTAGAGTGATGACAGAGAAACAGATACAGCATCAGAAAGCAGTTACCAGCTCAGCAGACACAAGAAGAGCCCGAGCTCTTTAACCAATCTTAGCAGCTCCTCTGGCATGACGTCCTTGTCTTCTGTATGTAAACAAAGGCTCCATGTTAATATCTCTCCGCATCTCTGAACTTTGCTCTGACATGCTCATGCTCATTGTAAAACAGCCTACTCCTGTATTTCTCAGGGCACAAGCAGTTTCTCTAATCCATACTTAGCTTCTGGCTAGCTACATCTATTTTTTTTTTTTTTTTTTGACTAAAGTGGTTCATATTCATCATAAATAAATATTTGGGGGGTTTTTTGTTGTTGTTGATATAAGTACTTCACAAATAAACTTAAATTGCCAAGAAGATGAACCACTAAATTTTTCTGTGCAACAAATGGGGTAACTATGGTAAAACCTGCTTGTATCAGATATGCTTCATAGAATTGTACCTCTCTTTTAGTAATCCTGATGAATCAATATGCCAGTTGACATGAAAGAATATGAGAGGTAATTCTTTGCCTTTTAGAAGGCATTTGAGCAGCATTTTAAAAGGAAAGATCCTTAAGTGTAGTTACTCAGATTTGATTTAAGGGAATCTAATTTGACTTTACATAGAACTTCTTGCATAAGGTGAAGTTGTGTGTGCATGTAGTATGTATGTAAAAATATATGTAAATATATCCACATACACTTATCTGAGTATCAGATATGCATACACATACATATATTTTACCAAGTATGCTAAACAAATGATAAAGTTGTACTTAAATTCTTGCTAGCCTTGTGTTACTGAAACCTTTTTTAAAAACCTATTTAAATTGAGTTTCTGCTGATAAAAATCTAACATCTGCCTTTGGGAAGGTTTTAAACTTCCTTCATCAATCATCCATTTTCTACCCTTTCTGACCTCTAAAAGCGCATGGCTCAGTAAGCATTTTCCTAGATTCAGTGGATGGTTAACATGGTAAAATTCCTTGTTAGTGCCTTGGAAATTTGATACAGCAGTGTGTCACTGTGATTAGAGTGTCTGGGTTTTCTCACATCTTCTTTCTTTCGGATTTTAAATATTAAGCATGCCTGAAAATGGATGCCTTTGAATGCCACCTAGCATAAAATCACCCTGCTTTGAAATGAGCCAGCATCTAAATAACATTGCATTTCACTTTTCATCTATGTCTTACGGGGAAAATTTTTTAAAAACATTAGTCGGCTGGGCGCTGTGGCTCACGCCTGTAATTCCAACACTTTGGGAGGCTAAGGTGGGCAGATTACTTGAGCTCAGGAGTTCGAGACCAGCCTGGCTAACCTGGTGAAACCCCATCTCTACTAAAAATATATAAAATTTAGTAATACCTTTCAAAAAGGTCATTTTGAAGGATAACTTTTTTTTTTTTCACAACTGCCCTCATAAATTTACAACCTAAAATTGATTTATTCAGTCATCTAGAAAATTGGAGATACGGCTGAGCGCAGTGGCTCACGTCTGTAATCCCAGCACTTTGGGAGGCCGAGGCGGGCGAATTACCTGAGGTCAGGAGTTTGAGACCAGCCTGGCCAACATGGTGAAACCCTGTCTCTACTAAAAAAAATACAAAAATTAGCCGGGCATGGTGGCACACGCCTGTAATCCCAGCTGCTTGGTAGGCTGAGTCAGGAGAATTGCCTGAACCTGGGAGGCAGAGGTTGCAGTGAGCCGAGATGAAGCCACTGCACTCCAGCCGGGGCAACAGAGCAAGACTCTATCTCAAAAACAAAATGAAACAAAAAACTCTAGTCATGTATATCATGTCAGGTTGTCTTTATAGATATGTCTTTATGCTATATTGAATTAACTGCTTTTATAAGCAAGCTAAAGAAATAATGCCAGTAAGGATTATATCCATGATCCTTGTGCTAGGTTTAAGAACAAGATAGAGACAAACACTATGCATTTCTGACGCTTTCAGGTGAGTGGCAGTGTGATGAGTGTTTATAGTGGAGACTTTGGAAATCTGGAAGTTAAAGGAAATATTCAGTTTGCAATTGAATATGTGGAGTCACTGAAGGAGCTGCATGTTTTTGTGGCCCAGTGTAAGGACTTAGCAGCAGCGGATGTAAAAAAACAGCGTTCAGACCCGTAAGTACATTTTAGAGTCACCTACCTTCTCTTAGTTCTCAAACTGTCAATCTTTATAGGAATTGGAAGGAAATAATCAAAGAGGAGGGAGGGTATGTGTTAAAAGGAATGTTTGAAAAGTTGGTGGAAAATGCTGTTTTATTCTATAAAACATATGTCAAGCATTAAATTATAAAAATCACAGAGAAGCACAAAATGTTTCAACTTGGAAAGGACCTTTGGGGTCATCTTGTTCAGTTCCTTCATTTTACAGATAAGAACGCAAGCACCAGAGAAGACAAGTAACCCATATATGTGAATTCAGATAGAAGCAAAATGAGGAATGAGGACCTGAACCCGTCTCTTTCCGTCACACTCTCAAACGTTTTACAAAATTAGGGACACATGGGACACACTTCATAATGCTCAGTGGTATAAAAATAGTTAAGACTCTAGAATGAGAGAATTTTCGTATTTAAATTATATCTTACAGAACTTTAGGGGAAATTGCTAAAATTATTTTTTTAAATCACAGGTTTGATTGCACTTCAGTTTTTTTTTTTTTTTTTGCAAACGCTGAATGGTATTCCCCACTTATCCCTATGCAGAAGTCTGATTCTTACTTTGCTGAGACAAGCCCAATTCTTTTTTCTTATTCTTATTATAAAAATAACTAAGCTCAACAACCTTTATTTTTTTAATATTGAAGATAACTTGACTAGGTATTTACTAAGATGAATTTATTTCAAAAGACAGTAACAAAAACTTAAAAATACAGCACCAAAGTGTTTTCTCAGAGGGAACCAAACTAACAGATGTAAGCTCTATGTTGGAAGTGTGTTTTCTTCTTCTTTTTTTTTTTTTTTTGAGACGGAGTTTCACTCTTGGTGCCCAGTCTGGCATGATCTCAGCTCACCACAACCTTCGCCTCCCGGGTTCAAGCGATTCTCCTGTCTCAGCCTCCTGAGTACCTGGGACTACAGGCATGCGCCACCACACCCACCTAATTTTGTAGCTGTGTGTGTGTGTGTGTGTGTGTGTGTGGTGTTTTTTTTTGTGTTTCGATTTTTTTTTGAGACCAGCGTGGCTCATGGGGTTTCTCCATGTTGGTCAGGCTGGTCTTGAACTCCCGACCTCAGGTGATCCGCTCACCTCAGCCTCCCAAAATGCTGGGATTACAGGTGTGAGCCACTGTGCCCGGCCTAGAAGTGTGTTTTCTGCTCCTTTCCACCCCTGCATATTAGTTAAGGCCAAAGGAAAAAAGGAATTCTGGAAATGCCTGTTAAAAATCTTCAGAACAATATTAAATGATCAATTCCATTAAAACCCTTTACACATTTAAGTATAAAGGTATTGGTGGGAAAATTTGTTATTCATTGCTTTTCTTAGTGTCATGAAATAATTATTTCTGTGGTCAGTTTTCAATGTAGTTAAAAAACTAGATGTGGAAACATCACTTTTATTTTCTTTGACTTTCTTGTCTGTTCAATTCTCCTTTTTAGATATGTAAAGGCCTATTTGTTACCAGACAAAGGCAAAATGGGCAAGAAGAAAACACTCGTAGTGAAGAAAACCTTGAATCCTGTGTATAACGAAATACTGCGGGTATCTATGAACTCACTCTATAGGAAAATCCCAGATGGTGACCTGTTTACCATATCTTCTTGGGTAGTAGCTCTACAGGATAAAGTCAGTCACCAAGAGAGGAGAAGGAAAGGAATACAAATGTTCTGAGACTGTTTTGTTTGAGACAAAACACCATGAATGTTGTATACATTATTTCATTCACTGCCCACTCATACACTGGCCGGCTGGTATTGGTGTCTGCATCTCACAGATGAGGCAAATGAAACTTGGAGAAATGAAGTAACTTATTTAAAATCACACAGCTTGGCTGGGCATGTTGGTTCATGCCTGTAATCCCAGCAACTTTGGGGTCAGGTCAGGAGTTCAAGATCAGTCTGACCAAAATGGTGAAACCCTGTCTCTACTGAAAATACAAAAATGAGCCGGCATGGTGGCAGGCACCTATAATCCCAGCTACTCGGGAAGCTGAGGTAGAATGGCTTGAACCAGGGAGGCGGAGGTTGCAGTGAGCTGAGATCATGCCACTGCACTCCAGCATGGGTGACTGGAGTGAAAACTAGAGTGAAACTGTCTCAAAAAAAGCAAAACAACAAAACAAAACAAAGAAACACCACAGCTGATAAAGTTGAGCATTGCAACCAGAATGATCTTCTAAAAGCACAATTCTGATTATGCTATTTTTCTGCTTTCTATAACCCTTAGGGTCAAAGCAATCTTTCTTAACATGCACACCAGTCTGTTCACAACCTGAACTCCAGCCTCAACTTTCCTCTCTCATAGTCTTTGTTCCAGTCATCCTGAATTCTTTTCTATTATTTTAAGGAAGTACATTTTCTCACAATTCTGTGAATTTCTGTTCTTTCAGGCTGGAATATTCTTCCACACATTATTTCCCTAACTACCTCCTCCACTGTCTTAAATACCTCTTTATGAGGAGCTGTACTTAACCCCTAAGTTCTCCTGCTGTCTGCTGCCTCGATAATCTTGCTTTATAGCAGGATATGTTAACAGCAGTTTAACTAGTGGTTTAATTGTCTTCCTTGCCACTAAATTGTAAGTTCCATGAGGGTAGGGACCAACTCAGTGTTTTTTTGTAAACTGTATGTCTTTGGGCACCTCATATCTGCCAAGTGGGGATAATGCTAGTTTTCAGATTTGCAAAAGGAAGATAATAATGGTACTTACCTACCTACCTTAGCAGTTAAGAACAGTAAATTAGTTAATTTGTGTGAAAGATCAGCACACATTAAGCATTTAATAAATCTTGATCCTTAATCTGGGATAGGTATTCAAAAAATGGTTACTGGAAAGATAAATGGACAGATGAATAGAAAGTATACTTGGCTCATATTCTTTTTCTCCCCCAAAACTACATCATGCTGCCTTAGTCATGACTAACAGATCATTTAAAGCTAAAAATAGGTGTTATTCATTCCCTCTTTCTGAAAACTCTGTCCAAGTATTTGATCATCCTCTGGAAAAATAAGCAGTTAAATCAACACTCAGTCATCCATGGTCTGAATTAACCACCTGTGGAATTTTTGTAGCAAGTTTTAAATTACAGTTTGACTATGATATGCCCTAGTACCCTAGCTATTTCTGGGTCAACTACCTCAACCCTATACTCAGGAAAAGCCAGATAATTTAAATGTTAAGCTCAGAGAAAGACAGACCTGCTACAACCACAATGGACATTCAAGTAGTACATCATGAAGCCAAATGGAAATTATTTTTAGATTAGAAGTACTATTGTCCTTTCCATGATTATATATAATTAAAGATTGACTACATTTTAGATGAAAAACTGTTAGGATGCCAGATCTTTTCTACTTGGCCATATGAAGCCGGAAAAGACAAGTTTATTTATTTTTTTTAAATACTTCGTCTGTGTGGGACGTTGATAGTGGGGGAGGTGTGTGTATGTGGCGGCATACATGGCATACTGTTCTCAGTTTTGCTGTAAACCAAAAACTGCTCTAAAAAGACTATTTAAAAAATACCTTGTTCTTCAGTAGCAAACAGAGAATTGTGTTAAACTTGATTTGTGTTTTAGACTGAATTTTGTATTACATCTAGTCTAAAAATATTCAGCAAAAATTGAAAAATTGGCTTTTATTGTTAGAGAACTATTACCAACTATGATATTTGAGTCTTGGCTTGCTTTTCGAGAGTGGGGAAGCAAATCAGCTTTTATGAAAGATGGGTTTTTACCTCTTTGAAACAAGACACTTAGAATAAGATGACTTTGCAATATTTTTGGGACTTGAAACCTAACAGATAAGAAAATTTGATACATACAGATGAATTTTCTCTTCATCTGTATGTCATAACCTTGGCATCAAGTAATGTTATTCATCATTTAATTTTCTTCTTTGAACTTCAGTATAAAATTGAAAAACAAATCTTAAAGACACAGAAGCTGAACCTGTCCGTTTGGCATCGGGATACATTTAAGCGCAATAGTTTCCTAGGGGAGGTGGAACTTGATTTGGAAACATGGGACTGGGATAACAAACAGAATAAACAATTGAGATGGTACCCTCTGAAGCGGAAGGTGAGTCTGGAGTTTTTTGTTTGTTTATTTGGTTGGTTGATGTGGGGCCTGGTGTATAGGAAAAAGCTTAACTGCATTTAATTCAGAGCACAGATCTGTAGTTTGGGATAATTTTAAACTAGAGAAAAAAAAAGAAAGGTAAAAAGGTTATTGGGAGAATGTTTAAATCATTTAACACAAATGTTTCAGAGACTACAGGAAGGTCTTTTAAATAATTCAATCCTTTGAAATTTGATACTGACTTTTAGCCTAATATCTGGCTGAGTTTTGATAAATGTTCCATGTGTCACTTGAAACCAAAGTGTATTCGATGGTTAAAGGATGTAATGTTCTATATCAATTAAGTCAAAACTGGTTCCTGAAATCTTTTATATCCTCATGGATTTTATGTCTGTGTGTACTGTGAATTACTCATGGAGTTACAATTGTGCATTTGTCTTTTTCTCCTTTTAGATTTATTATTTTTGATTCACTGTATTTGAGATTCTTATTATATATACATACAACTAGAATTGTTATATTTTCTTGATAAATGAACCATTTTATCATCTTGAAATTCCCTTTTTATCTCTAGTAATACTTATTGCCTGAAATCTAATTTGCCTATATTTGTATAGTTCTATTAGCTTCCTTTTGATGAGCAGTTTGTTTCTGTCTTTTGATTTTCAGCCTTTTAAAATTCTTGTAGTTCAGATATATTTTTATAAGCAATAGTTTTGATGTTTTTCCAGTCTTAAAATATTTGTCTCTTAATTGGATTATCCAGTCCATTTGCACTTAATGTAATTATTGACATATTTGGGTCCAAACCTAGTATCTTACTATTTGTCCTATTTTCTTATTTTCATAATTGCCTCCTTTGGGATTATTATTCCAATCTTTTCCCTGTCTTAATATGTCAGTTATAGTTTATTTTCATTTTTCTTTATTAGTTCCTATAGAGATTACAATATGCATCCTTGAATTAAAACTGTAATATAAATGAGAACTTTTGCCACTTTCAGAACAATGAAAGGAACCAAGAACATTTTAACTCCATTTACCCATTCTCCCATCCTTTGTGCTATTTTTGGTCATGTTTTAATTGTATATATTTTAAAGTCCCATAAGACATTACTATTATTGTTTTATACAGTCTATTAATTTAGATTTGACCACGTATTTGGCTTTCCGTTGCTCTTTCTCCTTTCCTGGATTTCTCCGTGGAGTTGTTTCTTCTCTTAAAGGCTCTCCTTTAGTTTTACTGTTAGTGAGTATCTCCTGGCAACAGATTCTTTCAGATTTTCTTGGTATCATAACATCTTTTTCAATCTTTGAGGGATATTTTTGCTCTGTTGCTAGGTTGGCAATTATTTCTTTCCGTGTTTTGAAGATGTCACTTCATAGTATTTGGTCATTTCTGTTGTGAAGTCAGCTATTAGTCTTATTTTTGCTCCTTTGAAAGTTATGTGTTCTTTTCCAGATTTTAGGATACTTTTCTTTGTCTTTGATTTTTAGCAGTTGTACTATAATGAGCCTAGGTGTAGTTTAATTTATCCTGAGGTTTGGGGTTCACTGAGCTGCTTGAATCTATCTATGTTTTGGTATCTTTCATCACTTTGAAAATTTACCAGCAATTATTTCTTCAAATATTACTATTGCCCCACTATTTTCTCCTCTCCTTCTGGAAACTCCAATTACAAGTATATTATACCTTTTTATTCTGTCCAATATGTCTCTTATGCTGTATATTCTTTTTTCTTATATTTCAGACCATTTTTTGATAACCTGTCTTACAATTCAACAATTTTATCTGCTGTCTATTCTGTTGTTAAAACCATCTACGATTTCAGCCAATCTATAATATAAAACTTATATTTTCAAAAGTATATTTTCTTTTAACTCTGTTTTGATTCCGTTTCTCTCCTAAAATTCTCTATCTTAACGTTGTCTTTATAAATATAGCATGCAAAGTTATTTAATGTATGTACTTGAAAATTTCAATATCTTAAAAATTTGTGAGTTCTGCTTATCTGTTTTTTAAAATCTTAGTTTGGACGCTTAGTTCTTTGTCTTGATATGCCTGTTCATTTTTTAATCATATGTGGGGTGTTGCATATGAGAACGTTCTAGGAATAATTTGGGAAGATTTACTTTTGCTTCTGACAAAGCAGGCATAGACCACCTTCATTTAATCTGGGAATGAACTGACTTTGAAGCACAAGCCCAGTTTTCAAGTGATCTGGTCTAGTTTTTGTTTGCTCATATTCCTAGGTTAAGGCCCTTCAGAGGTTACAACTGAAAGCCATGGGAAGTAGTTCTCAAAATCAGCATGCATCTGATTCACCTGAAGGACTTATTAAATTACAGATTCTGGGGCTGGATGTGGTGGCTCTCACCTGTAATCCCAGCACTTTGGGAATTTGAGGTGTGGATTGCTTGAGTCCAGGAGTTGGATGGAGACCAGCCTGGGCAACATGGCAAAACCCTGCCTTTGCAAAGAAATTAACTGGGATTGGTGTTATGCACCTGTAGTCCCAGCTACTCAAGAGGCTGAAATGGGAGGATCACTTGAACCCGGGAGGTGGTGGTTGCAGTGAACTGAGATCACACCATTGCACTCTAGCCTGGGCAACAGAGCAAGACCCTGTCTCAAAAAAAAACCAAAAAA